TTCAGTTCTAAATGGTACTCTTGGGCAATTTTCTCAGCAGTCCACATTTTTGGAAAAAGTTTATGATTATTGAGAAGTGTCAATGCTTCTACAACAGAAATTTTGCCTTTGGGAATGTTCACGACATTCTTATCCACATGATGTCCTATCGGCAGTCTAAATTCCTTTGGTTCTTGCCATATTTCAACATCTTTTACCGGCAGGGAAGACACCGGATCTTTGGACTCCACATATACGTCTTTTAGCAATGACAACAGCTTATCTTTCCTAAAAAACTTCTTGATTTCTGGGTGCTGACTCAGTTGCTCGCGCAGGAGGTCGTGCGTGGACGTGTGCTTGGGAGCCGTGGAGGGCTTGGTCCTGCTGATCTCCCGCTCCGTGCGATTCTCCAGGTTGAAGTTCCTCATGGCGTGGCTCACACGCCCGCACCCCCCGGGCCCCCCGGGTGGGGGTGCCCTGCCGGGGCCTGTGACCTATAAGATGGAATCTTATAATGGTGTATATTCTTTTGTATCTATTCTCTCCCCCCATCCTCCCCATCTGCCCTCCCCTTTTTCTTGTAAATTTAGTTTGACTTTTAGAGACAGGGTCACATACAGCCCAGGATGGCCCTGAGCTCACTGTGGTACCAAATCTAGCTTTGAACTCAACCCTCCTGCCTCTGTTTCTCAAGTGCTGAGATTACTTGTGTGCCTCACCAACTGACCTTTCTTTCCCACCATGGTGTTTTTATCCATGTCACCGCGTGTGGCAGAAGCCTATCTGTTTTCATTGAGGGGCCTCTGGATGTCCTCACACTACGACTGGCTCATGTGGTGTTGATGGGTATTGGAGTTGTTTCTGGCTTGTGCCTGTGGGGTGCACCCCACAGATCTCCCCGAGAGTGGAGCTCCCGGTCTTAGGCTATGTCAGTGTTCCTCTTAGACTGAGTTTTAATGGCTGTCTTCCAGGCCGTTCTTTACAGTTTATACCCTGTCAGCTGCACAGGAGGGATCCTGACTTCCCAAGACCTTCTTCATATGCTACCAGCCATTTTGGGGGTTTTGTTTATTTGTCTTTTCTGTGTTTGCTTGTTTCATATAAAGTCTCTCTTTGTAGTCCAGGCTGCTTTGGAACTCACTATGTACCCCAGGCTATCCTTGAGTTTATGACAAACCTCCTACCTCCTTCTCCTTATTTTATTGCATTTGAATGGTATGTTGACTTGGGGAGTTCTTTATATATTCAGGTACAAGGCTTTCACACATACACGCATACACACACATTTTACTATGTATAGGAAGTTTGTAGTCTCATTTTTTAGAGAGTTGCTTACTTTTTTAGTTCTTCTGTTAACTAATTGCTTGCTTCGGTTTCAAAGAATTCATTGTTTATTCATTCAGTAGTGCCTTCCTGTGTCTTCTTTAAAAAGTCTCTTTCTACTTAGACACAACGATGTTTTCCTAAAGTCTTTTCCACAGAGTTTAGCTGTGCCTTTTACATTTAAATGTGCAATCTGCCCAGAATTCATCTTGATAGGTGACGTGAAGCACACCAATCACATTTTGTTTTTCACTCATGCGTTTATCAATATATCAGAGTTCTATTTATTGCAAAGGTAGTCGTTTGCCTTCATGGTTTACTTTCTGTGTTTTGTTTTTGTGGTATTGAGGGTTCAATGCAAGGCCTTACACATATAAGGCAATAATACTCTTGTGAAGCTTCCCCTGCATCACACACCTTTCCCATGGGGTCAGAGTGGCTCTGCTTCAGAAACTGTTTCATTGTGCTGTCTTGACTATGACAGCGTGAGTCTGGTAGACCATGTCCAAAAGAATCCCTTTGCTATTTTGGCTTTTACATTGTGGAGTTTGATTGAGATTGCCTCCAGAGTATGTGTCATTTGGGAATTAATATCCTTATAACACCATTTCACCCATCCTTGGGAACTGTATACATACTCCATTTATTTAAGTCATCCCTAATTTTTATTAGTTTTTTTGTCTCTTTGAGGTGCTAGGAATCAAAATGTAGGCCACGCACAGCTAGGCAAAGATTGAATTGCTGAATTGTAATCCTGGTCCTTTGGTTTCTTGAAACAGGGTCTCGCAGTGTAGCCCAGGATGTCCTGGAGCATGTTCTATCCCAGGTTGGTCTAGAATTCATGATCTTTCTGCCTGGGCCCCTAGAGTGTAGGGCATATGGAATGTACTGCCATGCTGGACAGATGTTAGTTTCTCTGAGTAAAGGACTTAAATATCTTTCATTAGAACTGGTCCTAGCATGGTTTGGATGCTATCATAAATGACATCTATTTTGTTATTTCATTTCCTAACTCCTTACATGACATAAAATTTATAGATTTTGCTATTTTACTAAGTCACACTTTTTAAGAACTAGCATTAGCATGGTGGGATTTCTCCTTTCCTGTCCTGTATTTTTAACCTATCTTTATCTTGGTATCTGAGGGGAGTTTCCTTGAGGAAGCACACAGCTGGGCTTCAGCTTCCAGCCATTCTGATGTTAGTTTTATGATATGGTATCTGTGCCATTGTTAATTGTTGGGATTATTCATGCGGTTGGTGTTCACTCAACATGATCATCTTGCTTTTTGAGTTATTTTTTATTGTACTATTGCTTACTCTCCCTTTTGTCATTGTTTGAATTATTTTTGTGAGCTCTTTTTCTTTCCTTAATTGATCTTAAATAATATTTAGCACTAGCATTCACTTTATTGCTCAATTTGGAAACCTTGGATTATTTTTAGGGTCTTTTCCTATCTCACATCTAACCAATTATAAAAGTCAGTCATCCTGACTCTTGAATACTTGTATATTAAAAACTTACTTTTCAGTGTTTATTCTTGGGTTCCTCTGGTTCACAGTTTGACCTCCTACCTATGTATTTGTAACTACTTCTTTATAAGCATCTTCCTTCCCCCTTTATTCTGATGTGTGATCCATTCTGATAAAAAGTCTCCATGTATATCCAGTGCCTCGGCTACATGGGTTGGCTCTATAAATTTCTTAACATTTATATTCTTCTCGTATCCCCAGCTTTTCTGTTTCTCCCATATCCAGCTACTCTTTCTCTTAACGTTTTACCTTCCAGTGCTGCAATCAGGATGGTCAAAGATATGGGGTGGTGTCTTTAGATTCCATAGCCTCCCACATCCTGGAAACCATCCTTCAAGTCTTCACACCTGCTCTGGGAAGCCCAATGGACTTCTTTTAGCTGCATTGTTTTCCCTCCCATTTATCTCATAGAGTCCTGTGCTATTCTGTTCCTTGTAGAGTGTAAGCTCTTGCTGAGGTTTGAGGCATCTTTGTGTAGATACCGTAGAAGTACTTGTTAAAGGGTAGGTTGCATACAGAGCTGGCTGAGAGATAGGGTGGCCATTTGGCTGATCATTGTAGGCATTCAACTTTTGGCCTTTTTTATTGGTTATGTGTATATATTGCATGCCAGACATGCTTCACTTACAATGGGCGATTCTGTTAAGGTTTGGGCTTTACCATCATGAACCTACTAAATGACAATCAGTTTTCTGCAGAGTTACCCTTTTAAGGGAAGACCTACTCTGTGCGGTTTTTAAAGAAAATAAAAATTGTAGGCAGTCACCATTTTGGGACCCAGTGGGGTGTTTTGTTTTTTTTTTTGCTTTTATTGAAATTCACCCATAACCAGACAGTGGAGTCAGAGTGCGCTAGTGAAAACAGAGTTAGAGTGAGCTAGTGACAATGCAGAGTCAGAGTGAGCTAGGGACAATGCAGAGTTAGAGTGAGCTAGTGACAATGCCCCTGCAGCATTGTTCTTCCTGTGGGTAAGAGAGAGAAACTTGAGTTAATATTTAGCATTTAGATTTTCTTATGAAAACAAGACATGGCAAAATGTGCTTTCCTGTCCGTTCCACAGGAGAGGCTGAAACTCACATATGAGGCGAAGAGTGAACTTCTGGAGTCTCAGTTGATGCTTCTGAGGTAACAAATTATCCACTTACAGATAGAACCTAAGGATGGGTTCTTAAGATAGACTTTAATGTCTGATGAACTGACTGTCATCAACATGTGCATTACTTGATAGCATTTTATATGTGGTACAACAACAAAGCAATCACTCTGTGTTTCGAACTGTGGGAATGAGTAAGACACCACACGTCAACACCACCAATGGCGGTAAAAGTTCTCTCTGATGCTTCATTTGAAAGTACTGTGCTTTTCCCTGGACATTGCCTAGATTTTTTTCCACTTTCTTTTAGGAAGGACTTAGTTGAATATCAGCAAAACTGTGAGGATCTTAAGGAAAGACTGAAGCATAAAGATTCTCTTCTGGCTACTGGAGTGTCCAGCCGAGTAGGTGGCCTCTGTTTGAAATGTGCCCAGCATGAGGCTGTTCTTTCCCAGACCCATAGCAACGTGCATATCCAGGCCATCGAGACAATGACTAAGTAAGTATGCATTGCGTCTGGAGTCTTTGCCAGTGGAAGGTATCATGTCTCTAAGGACATTGTGCCCTTCTATCCCATGCTAAGTCATACGTGGTTCGGCTCCATAAACCAGATTTTATATGGTTCCTTTATTGAAGCTTTCTTGAAGAAAGGATGGCTAGGTTCTGGTCTGCCAGCTCTGGGTGACCATACCACTGAACAAAGCATTTTATCTGTTAGTTCAGATCTCACTTGAAATGAGAGGATTGAAATAGATAATCTTCATGGGTCGCCCAGTTCTGTGACCCCAGCCTTAACACTGCTCTTCACAAGACCGAGTAAGATGGGAATTCCTTAGATTGCACCACATCTGGGATTTTCCAGTGTGGTTTAGACAGAATGGACCATTAGCACATCTTCTTTGTGTGCCTATTGCAAAGAATATTCTGAGTTAGTGCAAGGATGCAGCTGTCACAGTATTAGCAGATGAAGGCTGACTAGGGAGTGATTATGGAGGAGCTTTTGTCCAAGTTCCGGCCCAGGCTGAAATACTACAATCCTTCCACATGCATCTCTTATTCCAGCTTCTTCTGGACGAAGTCTTCTTTTCTTTTTTTTTCCTGTAAAACTCATTGAATGGAAATTGAAAATTATTATTTATTATAGCACCCAGTGCTGGTTTGCAGTCTGTGCTTTCCTTTGCTGATGACTCTTGTCCCCTCTGTCTGTTGTGCTCATTGTAAAAGCCCAGGCAGCATCCATTTCAGAAGTATTCCCTCACTGAGCCCTGCCCTCTTGGTCCTCGGCTGACTTCATGGATTTTCTCAGTAGTTTTAGAAGACATTGTGTACACATGAAAGCAGCATTGTTATTTTGTTTATTGCTTCAGCTCTGGGTCCTATCAGAGTATCTGGGTCGGGCGGGCACTTGGTGTTCATGCTTCCTATCTGGTGCTAAGGTTGGTGTTGAGTGCTTAGCAATCGCGGAGATCCTGTAGTTGGAGTCCGTGTGCAAACATGGGATGACTGTGATCATTATAGGCAGACAGTTTTTGCTGTCTTGACCTATAGACAAATTGCTTTATTGCTCTGTTCAGTTTTCTGCTATTTGGGGGGAAAGTATGTACCTTTGTGGGATTTTTACCAAGATAGTTTAACTTTATGAACAGGAGCACTGAGTTTTGAGGCAGACTGCCTTGAATTCATAGTCTAGTTTTGCTATGTCATCCTACTAAAGCTGCTTAACCTCCCCTCTCCTCACTTTTCAAATGATGCTAGGTGTTTTGGTTTGGTTTGGTTTGGTTTCTTGAGACAGGGTTTCTCTGTGGCTTTGGAGGCTGTCTGGAACTCGATCTGTAGACCAGGCTGGTCTCGAACTCACAGACACCCAGCTGCCTCTGCCTCCTGAGTGCTGGGATTAAAGGCATATGCCATCAACACCCCAAGTAGCTGATACCAGGTGTTTTGAACAGTAGTTGAGATGGTATCCCTGCTTTGTAAATTCTCTGCATTCTACTGCTGAATTCTGTCTCGACACTAAATACTAAAGACCCCACACTTCACAGAGTAGAAGAGGGATTAGTGTTCTTCCTGTGACATCCACACATGATCAGTGGATGAAGAGGGATTAGTGTTCTTCCTGTGAGATCCACACATGCTCAGTGGATGATTTCTGTACAAAAGGGAGCTGCCAGGGATGACTGATGGTTGAGATCAGCAGTGATGGTTTGATTTTGTTAAATATTATATTATTAATTGTTTTTAAAAAGCTTTCACATATATTCAATAAAACAATTACCCTTATTAATATATATAAAATAGATTTTTCAGACCCAAGTAATATATAGTGAATGCTTGTTATTTGATAAGGGCTGAGCTAGGCAACTGAGAAAACAGTATCCTTTCATCTTAAAAAGCAATTTTGTGTGGCAGGTATTATAACTCTGGAGGCAGTTATAATACCTGCCCAACTCTAGTCCTGCCCCTTTCTTCCTTTTAGTCTTCTCTATACAAATTCCTGGCTTCTCTAAGGCTAATTCCAGTCAGCTGTCTATGGCTCTGCCCCCACTTCAAGGTTAACTTTATTAACAGTCTTGGAGTGTCACAATGCGATTAAAGATCCCACAACGCTTTACAAAAATGAATTATGTATACAGAGCCAAATGTAATTCAGGTTATGAAAGTATTAGAAGTAAATGGACAGCCTTGATATTGTATCCTAAGCATGACACGCAAAGAGAAAGTCATAAACAGAAAAACAATCATTCCCTTGACCCATTGAAAAGTTAATTCATGAGCACTGGACATGGTAGCCACACCTGTAATAACAGCACTTGGTAGACCAAAGCAGAGGAATTGAGAGGTCTAAGCCAGCCTAAACTATACAGCAAGATCTTGCTCACAGAACACAAGGTTGGATATGTAGAGGATGGGTACTGATCCAGCATGTCCAAGGTTTAGTTCCCAGCACTAAAATAATTTTAATTAAATTAATTTACTTAAAATTTGCAAATTACAGTAAAAGACTAGGAAAATACTTTTCATGTATAACTAACTAGTAGTAGAATGTGCAAAGTTTTGAAATAGAAAATGACACACTGACTAGCTGCACTGTGAGAAAAAGGAAGGAATTTGTGAGAGAGGAAGTTGTTCTACTTAAGGAAATTCAAGTCAAGAAAAAAGCTCACCCATCAGACTGGTGAAGATAAGTAATTGATGATTGCTGTGGGGCCAAGATTAAGCAAACATTTTTCATGCCCTGCTGGTGACACTATGAAACTAGCCGAGCCGCTTGGCAGGGTGATGTAGCTCTATCCATTAATGTTTAAATTATGCATTCTGGTTTCCTGTGAAGAAAAGCTCATATGTGCTCACAGTAGAGCACACATAAGAATGCTTCTGTAGCACTATTTGTAATGACGTGGAAGCCTGGTTAGCCTTCAAAGGGAATCTAAACTGTGGTTGTGTCAACTATGATGATTTATGGACAGTATTAAAAAAATAAAAAGAATGCAGGGCGGTGGTGGCTCATGCCTTTAATCCCAGCACTCGGGAGGCAGAGGCAGGCGGATCTCTGTGAGTTCGAGACCAGCCTGGTCTACAAGAACTAGTTCCAGGACAGCTTCCAAAGCCACAGAGAAACCCTGTCTCAAAGAAAAGAAACAGAATAAAAAGGAATTGAAGGCTGAAGAGATGGCTCTGCCAGCATAGCTGCCTGGTGCCAAGCTTGATGGTCTAAGTTCCATCTCTGAGCCCATGTGATGGAAGTAGAGAACCGACTCCTGCAGGCTGTCCTGTGACCTCCACACGTGTGCTGTGACACATGACATGCAGGAAAAAAACACACACACACACACACACACACACACACACACACACACACACACACATACAGAGTAGATAAATGTGAAAAATTAAGGTGGTGTATGCACACCCACACACATAGTTCACACAAACTTGTATATCCATGTTCACACACAAGAAGAAGTGAAGAGGACACACGTGAACTAATGTTGAGACTAACTCCAAACTAAATAAAACTACTAAAGATAACGTCAACACAAAGACATTTGATTTTCTAGGTCAAATACAGTATTAGATATTTTCTCCAGGTTCATAGAAAAAGATTTGAAAGACTAGGCACCAGATATTTAGCAATGGTTAAAGTATGAAAAGGTCATTAGATTTCAAGATTTGTTTCAAATTGTCTTTAGTCCTATTGGTAACTAGCTTTACGTGGAAATATTATAAAAATAAAATGTAAAAAGATATTTTATATTAAGTAGATTACTTTAGCCTCTAGGGTGTGAAAAAAGTGGTCCACAGAGGCTGCCATGTCTGCAGTGATTGAGCGTCTGGCTTTCATTTAGAAATTAGTTGGTCAGTTAGGAATTCTGTTGTCACTATCTTAAGTTTGATCTCAGCCCCGGAAAGGAAATGCCAGACTGCTTAGTTCCCGTTTCTGCTTTGTCAGCAGTGCGCTTCGAGTTCTGCTTTAGCAGCAGAATGGGGTGAAAGGTCTCTGCTTTTATGATTTCTAGGAGTTTGGGGTTGTCTGGCTCCCTTTGTCTAATCTGGTATTTAGACCTTTCTGAGGTACCAGTGCACAAGGCTGCCTACTGACTGGCACCCTGACCCTCAGGGTTAGATTTCTAGCTTCGTGGATTTAAAGTTGGTACCTGCTACATGGTTTTAGGTAAAATTTGAAAATTGGACCATAAATATGATAAATCCAGAGTTTGCTGGAGCCCTTTTGGCCTTGTGAAGCCAGCTGTCAGCTGACTCAGTTCCATCTTCCAGCAAGTACTGCTTGGATGTGTGTTGGGGGGGGTGTGGCTTGTGTGAGAGGAGGGGATGAGGTGTTAACACAGGGACCAGAGCGGCCATCTGTTTGTGGTAATTTATATTGGGTTTGTAGGGATTGTAGTGAGTAGCTTAATATTTGTTTTTTAAGTTGATTTATATTTTTCTGAAGTGCCTTCCACTCAGGCTCCTTCGTGCTGTAAAGTAGGTCAAAATAATATTTGCTTCTTTCATTCTTTTTCTCAGTGATCAAAATTTAACTATCAAGATGATAATTCAAAAATCATCAGAGAAGTCCTGGATACTTTTTTTTTTTTTTTTTT